ATACCGAATATTCTAAGGGCTTCCTGACCGAATATTGGGCAAAAAGTATTCGGTCGGATGAAAGTAGTGTTTATCTTTTCTCTGAAGCTGAAATTGTCTACGAGAAGAAAAGGAGTAAACTACTGACTGAAAATGCAGAAAAATTAATCTTTCTGCATCATAATCTTCTACTTTTTAATTTTAATTACTATAATTCAAGTGCATAGATATATTTATCTGATAGTTTTTTGTTATTTTCTATAACAAAACGGAAGTTAATTATATACCTAACTTCCACAGACCAGAATAAAATAGCTGTTTAATGCTGCTGTGTTTCGTATGGTGAGTGTAGAGAACCTGAGACCCATTTTACTGGAAACGGGGTATTCCATCATAGACCTCAGGGGTGACAATTCATCTGCATTTTGATTCTTAATCGAGTATAGATGTAGATGTCGATGAGCCTCAGCATCCACTTGCCACCTGGTGTACTGTCTGCTCCTTTATCACATTTATTCTATATAAAAGAGACTAAGAAGCGTTACGTTACACCGAGAATTTTACATCTAAAATGAACATATTCCGGTGCCATCTACCAGCAACCGCCGTCCCAATCTTCTAATTCCACGAGCCGTTAATTTGTTTAACCGAAAATTCCCCACTAGCATACATCCAAGAGTGTAGGGGTATTTTCAAACGTAAAACGTAGTGATCAGGTATATACTCTTTGTTCAAACGCATCTATATATTCGGCTTCGTATGCAATACGTACTGCAGGCGATTTAATTTGGAGAGATCGTCATCATCTCACCTCGCCAGCGCATAATGAATCAAACCATTTGTAATAACACGTGCGACATCAATTCTGTACTTATTACGTGAAATTAATCTGGTATTTGTTTTGATGTGGTAGGTTTAAAGCTGCTTAAGCCGTCATACAACTCGCGGCACGAAAGTCTAGCGGTGACTGTTATTGCGCATAATTGGCCGTATTACGGATCATTGCGTATGATTGGCTGTGCGTATCGTTCGCACGCGCTGATTGGCTCCAGTCGCATTCCGTCTCCCGTACTGATACGACATTCGCAGCTATCCCCTCCACGTTTTGCGTGAAACATCATAATATTCAACAAGCAAACTTTGATGGGATAACAACCGGAACCTGAAAAATAACTAGGGATACATCGAAAAGCCTTTTTGCCGATACGATACGGTATTAAAAGTACAGGATGGATCAAATATTTATTTTTTAATTTATATTAAAACACAAAACAGACTTAGAAGAAGATTATTAGTAATTAAAATTAATAATTAAGGCTATAAGAGTTATTTTTGAGAGAGATTTTTGTTTAACCTACAATATATTCATAAATTTTGCGAAAAAGGCGATTTCGCGAGTATGTTTGATAGAACCTGCAGTGGAAAGTAGTCTATCAGATACGACAAAACTTATTTGTAAACTAAAGTAAGAGTAGCACACGTCATTGCGCCAAAAAACTCCGTGGATGTGCGTTTCTCGATACATTAGGAGACTAAGAACTTTAAAGGTTTTTAAAGGTATCGCAATAAAAATATCGCAGATGCCAATATATCGACAAACCCAAAATATCGCCGATGCATCTCTAAAAATTACCCTATAGGTCATTATTATCCATCCATCCCTTAGAGCCTATAAATAGTCCACCGCTGAAGACAGGAAACAGGTTGTCTCATAATGGGAATGTTGCCATATTTGCCACAACTGATAGAATCAGGCGTTCCTTTGCGGAAATTTATTATAATAAAGATATTAATAGTTACTTTGCAACCATCCGCTCAATAAAATAAAATGATGTGTCCTACCTAGTTTGAAGAGCACCTCCCGCCCTTTTTTTATAGGGGGTTTGCTGCGGCCCGTTTCCTTTTGGAGGATGGAGCTATTTAGTGGTGAAGCAGCATTGTCCCTCCCCGTGTTTGGGGTTGATCGCCCCCCTCAATTTCGTGCACTAATCCCGTCACCACTAATCCCAGCACCACTACTCCCAACACCACTACTCCCAATACCACTACTCCCAACACCACTACTCCCAACACCACTACTCCCAATACCACTACTCCCAACACCACTATTCTAGGAAAGACACACCATCGACGATAATACGACACGTGTTTCGTCTCTACACGAGGCATCTTCAGGTGATGTAAAGCTCTTATCCGTTTCAGTACTAGCACGCAGTTCACCTGATGGAAAGTGGATGCTGTCGCTGTACACTACAACTATCATCGATTAAGAAGCAAGTCCCCCTGACGACTAAAATGCTATGCCTCGTTTCCAGTAAACAGTGTTTCCGGGTCTCGGCAGCAATCAGCTGTTATTTTACGCTGGCATTCCCTGAGAGTGTGGTTATTTCCCGGTCTATTCTGCCTTTTGAATAATAAAGTATATATATGAATAAATTATTAAAATGTATTATTGGTGGCGGAATCAAATATTGATTTTATTTTATAAGATACTAATTTATCGCGTTTAATTTTAACTAAAGTTAAAATAAAACTAACTATAAAAGTTAGTTCAATTTATATCTAATGAAACGCGATAAAATCCGTAAATTTAATGTCATTTATTGTGTAGTATGCGTGTAAATATAAGAAATAATTAATTATATTTTTTTCGTATTAAAATCCAAACAATACATACAATACAACTTACTAAATATTCTTAGTCATATTATGTTTCCTTATATATCGAAAGGTCAATGACCTGTCGATCGTGATAGTATGTATTTTCGTCCGTTATTACTTTCATCTCATTATTTATATCAGTATAACTATGACACGCTAATTTACAGCTGTCAATGATCAAAGGATTGTTCTTGTAGATCAGACGCGAGATCATACTCTGTCAGACACTGTTGTCATACGAATTATAGTTTCTTTCACTTTTCTAAACGTAAACATATTAAAAACGAAAACAAGAAATACTAAATTGTTTGTCTCATTAAACTTCGTTTTATATTCTATTTATTTCGTTATTTATTAATAAAGTTGTCGTCTTTTTTAAATAGAGGAAGGGTAACAAATGAGCATATAGTCCACCCGATCGTAATTGGATGCTGCGGCCCATGAACAATAAAAATGCAGAAGCGTTGTCAACCCTAAGGACAAGATGAAATGCCGAGCACGTGGTAAATCAGCACTTAAAATTACAATTAACAATTTCATTGGTGCCGGCGGGGATCGAACACGGGTTACACTCGCGTTCGTGTTTACATGTACATGTTTACAGCGAGCGTTAACCATCTGAGCTACCACGGCTCTTATTTATGACAGCTTTTAATAGTTTTAAGAGCCGTGGCTGTACACCATCTATCACCCTATTTCAATCCATCCATCACCCTGGGTGTCGACAAATGGCCTGCCAAGCATGACAATGGAGGAATATCCTCCTTCCTAAGAGAGAGGACACTGTACACCACTACACCAGTGATGAAGTACACACTGAGCTTATTAAGTTTTGTCGACAAAGTTATTTAAGTAAGTATACTACTGGCAAAGAGGAATGTAAATGCTATAACAAACTGGTCAAGCTATCAGAGCAACTCTCAAGTCCTCTTCAATTAAGTTCAAGGTTGATCTTGTCTTGGGATCAAACGCTCTAGTTCTGAAACGCACTGTCAGCAGAAATTATAGTGCGCCGGATTTTTTAAAATCTTTTACAATGTAGACACAATTTATTTTGTTAAAATCAATAGTAAAAGACTGAGTAGGTATTTAAACTATTTGATATGATAATTTCATGGTAAATATTTATTATTACTTTCATCCATTTTTGAAGAGAAAACTTCGTTGGATAATGAAGTTGGACACTTAATTAAGGATATATGTAGATGTCTATGGGCCACAAAATCCAATTACCATCAGAATTACTTAACATAAAATCGATAAAAAAGGAATAATCAGGATATTTTAATTTCTTTATACGTGGTATAGTTGTAGCACGAATAGGACGGGTCGACCGCGGAAGGACGCTCTCACAGAATGTTTCATATGGTGAGTGTAGAGAGAACGAGGCATTCAATTTTAGTTCTTAGGGGTGGCAACGTATCTGCATCTAGAACCTTAATCAAGGATTGATGTAGATGTCTATGGGCCACAGCATCTGCTTACCACTCACGTACCGCACCTGCAATTTCTCTTGTGTTGCCGACGTTTTATTGTTCGTTGGCGGCGGCAGTCGCTTACAATAACGTGAGGTGCCCTTCTTATATAAAAAAATTATGGGGTAAATACCCATCTCGCGAAGATTGCGAACTCGACCCACCTTTATGATTTCGGTACCCTCTGGTGCACTCGGACTACTTACGCTACACGCAGGCAGGCGGGCTCGGGCTGCAGTTATCCGAAGCATAAAACACAAAAATAACGAACGTCCCCAATATCAATACCTCGTCCCACTTACACAGCGCGACGAACTCGACGTTTGACGCGATCTTGACATGTGTCTCTTTTATTTTATTGGCGTTTTATTTTTGGGTAACAATCGGTCACTGTTACACGCAGATATCTATAGATACGTAGTAAAATCTTCTAGGCTTTGCTTGCGAAGAAATAGCGATAAACGAGCACACCGTCTACCGTCCACCTGATGATAAGTGCATACTGTGGTAGTCTCAGAGGAATGGTAGTGCCGCAGACATTAATAAACTGCATCATACCTCTAAAATTTTTTCATAAGGAAACGGAATTTTCGGTTCTAGCCATGTTAGAGAATATTTACTTATTTTCTTTTCTAAAAAAATAGAAAGTTTCCAAAGAAAATACGTTATTATAGGTTTCTCTTCTTTGTTTCAGGTGCGACAAATTAAATACGCAATGAACGACCTTTCTAGTCCTCCCTTAGTCAACAAATAAATACTATAAGTTAAAGCTAATTAAGCATAAATTAAAACAAAATTTAATAAAAACTTACATTCGAAATGTTTATCGAAATATCATTTAGCGATGCAATTTAATTCGATTTGTAATTATTTAAATAAGTATAAATGAAAATAGTGGATAAATCCAACTCGATAAAGTTGAGAGTGTCCGACGGACAGAAGGGAGAGATGTCGCTGCTAGCGCCGAGGAGGGTGCAGCTCGATTGGCCGCACAGCATACCATGGTAAGTGTAAAATTTCAGTATTTTTATTTAAAAAAATTGGTTGACTCTGCGTCCCTAGAACTTCCCGCTAATTTCAAATACAAAGCGCTCCAAATTTCACCAAATTCTGTTGCGAAATCTCGAAGTTATGTTAATAAAACGTTTTTTTCAAATTCTTTCTCCTTCAATATCTCACGAATTATTGAACCGATTTTTTTTCCAAACGGCATTCGACATTGTTTTTTGAGGTTAAGAGCTGATTAGTTTTTAAAATCGATCGGTAAAGTCCTTTAAAAGTTATTCCAAAAAAAAACGGTTTTTCAAAATTTTTATTTTTGAGATTTCTCAAAGTCTACTCGTCCGAACCAGTTCATATTATCACCAAATCTATTCCACATTGAGATCTTTAGAACGCCGCATCTCAATTGATCAAGACGTTCAAAAGTTTTGAAAGGTTTACATACTTACTTGCACGCACACACACACACATACATTCATACATCTGTACGGACGTCCACGTGAAATTAGTCAGAATAGCTTCCTGGGATCTCAAAAGGTCGAGATCTGATGAAAACTCGATTTTCGAAAATCGGGATGAAACCAATAACTTCCCTATTTTTGAAAATTTTCAATTTTCTTAGCGGGAAGTTATAAAAAACGTTACTCCCACACTAAGATTTTCTCCTGAATCGTGGAGGCTGTTTACAAACATAAATTGAACAAAGACAAACATCCTGACTCGGAACAATGAGAAATAATTTACTTACGCTCACAATGCACGCATCGCATCACGCATCACCCATTATTCACGTGGTAGAGCCACATTGCAGCAATATTATGGTGTAGCACGAATGGGTCGGCTCGACCGGGGAAGGACCACGCTCTCACAGAATACCAGCGTAAAATAGCAGCCTAATACTGCTGTGTTTCGTATGGTGAGTGTAGAGATCCGGAGACCCTTTTTTACTGGAAACGAGGCATTCCATCTTAGTCCTCAGGGGTGACAACGCATCTGCATTTTGATTCGTAATCGAGGATGGATGTAGATGTCTATGGGCCACAGGTTCGACTTACCATCAGGTGGACTGTGTGCTCGTGTGTCAACCTTATTCTATAAAAAAACAAATGTCGCTGGTTGTGATTAAAGTGAACTTATTTGTTACCCGGATGGTCACACAGTGTCATTATCATTGAAAATTTGCGTTTTAAATTAAACTTTTTCGACTTCTAGTATATGAATATACACAAAACAATTTCTCAGTGTTGTGTTCCTAAATTTTCTAATTAATATAAAATATTTAAAAAAAAAAAGACATTCTTCATCACAATCTTTTCACTTTTCTAACAAATTAACTCCCCCCGCTATGAAATCTGTCAAATAGTTCGCCTCATCGAAAGTGGCGCCGCTTGAGAGCGGTGCCACTTTCGATGAGGCGAAAAAGTCGTTACTTGTACTTGTTGGCCATACATACAATACTTGTTCCGTGCGGGATTCGGACCAGCGAAACCACGCACCGTAAAGGTCCGGACAGACGTCCTCATTACTGGCACGAAAGCATGCTTTTATTGAGCAAGTGCTCATTAGTAGCACATGTGTTGCAACATTGCTAGTAACGAGCATGCTCAAAAATCAACCGACGTTTGATTTTTGAGCATGCTACCTGAAGCTCGGGTAGAAGGGCGTGCTCCGAGCGCGTCTGAATTGAACAGGATTGCTTATGAGCACGTTTTATCAAATCGATCTCGATTCGCGACAGTTGCTGCGTCAATTTAAAATAAAAAAAACCTTCATATGTCGCGTTGGGAAGAGGTAAAAAATCCCTTGATATTTCACGTTGCGGAGAAGAAAAAACTTTGCTCTTTCATTATTTTGTTAAGTTCTGTACGGATAGCACTATCACTATATTTTTGTACATCCATTTCGGCCGAGAGCCTGGTGCCAAATAGCACGTCTCATGCTTTAAGCGTGCTTATTGCTGGCAAATGTGAACAGTTGCAGAGCATGCTCATTTTAAGCAAGCTTATGAGCATATTTTTTTGAGCACGTCTGTACGTACCATGACAATGGCTAAGCCACTGCGTCATGGTCCATGGAGCCATCAGTTTCAACGAAATATTTATTTTATTTACCCTTCTTTAACTACTTTTGTACATTCACTGTGTGTAAATAAAATAAACTCATAGAAACTTTCGGTATTAGACATTTTGTCGTATTCAGAAAGAAGTGAGCTACAGATTAATTTGTACTCTTAGCTTTCTTGGCTCACTGAAGAGGCGAGGAAGTTCAAGAGATGGAAGGGAGACCTTGTAATTAATTTTTAAACCCGCGCAAACCGAGTTCTGCCTTGCGCCACCGAACCTCCAAAGCAGCACACAAGCGTTATGAACATCAATATACCAGCCCTCATAGAACATAAAGTTTATTTAGAAGCGTATAAGAGTGTTGAAAAGAATTCTATTCTTATAAGAGTGGTTTATGGGTTATTAAGCTGCTCAAAAGTCTATATTATGGGATCTAAGTAAGCTTAGGGTTCTTAGTCAGAATATGAAAACTCTAGTACACTATTGAAGTATTTTGTAACACCTGAATCTTATACTATCATTTAAGCTGTATAGAAGCTGTTTTTGCAATCTGTCACTTGCTTATACAGCTCTAAGTGTTATTGTAGCATCACTCAAATCTTATTTGTGAACCATAGAGTATGCAAACTCCCTTTTCAACTTATTTTTATGGGATAATTGTACACTCTTGTAAACAGTACAGTAGTTTTACATCTTTAGGAGGGTGATATAAAACTAAAAAGATAAATAACAGACATAATAAAATTTTAACACCTGTATAAGTGATAGAATATCGGCTTTTTGCAAGCGTTGTGTGTTTATATTTGTGCTAGTGAACAAAATTAATTTGTTATCAATAAATGTAAAAACAAGAAAATAAAATTAGTGCAATGATCTAACGATCATGTTAAATCTAGATAAAAATTATTCAACGCTGGACTGCTATACAGCCTAAATAATATATATATATATATATATATATATATATATATATATATCTTAATATATATATAAATTACGTGTCACGTTGTTTGTCCGCTATGGACTCCTAAACTAAGTAGTTTTTTTATCAAATTTACACACCGTGTGCAGTTTGGTCCAACTAGAGAGATAGTTTTTTGCTGGTGACCACAACTTTAGGATTTTTAATAACGACAAAAGGTCGTCGAAAACGGCGGAACAACGTCTGCCTGGCAAGCTAGTATATATATATATATATATATATTTTTTAAAAACACTCACGCCTGTCACCCAGAGGGGTAGGCAGAGACTACGGACTTCCATATATCTACGCATACATGCTCGTCGGTTAAGGGTACCGTGGCCCCTTTTCAAAATATCGCCAATTTGGTCGATAAATTTTTTCTAGGGCGTCCCTTCCCGACTCGGCCGTTCACATCCATAAATTTGCTTTGTCACTCTTTCCTCATTCATTCTTTCTACATGACCAAACCATATAAATATATATATATATATATATAATTTAAAATAAAGTAGTCTATACCATTATTTTCAGTATGACTAATGAATAATGATTACTGTGCCCCAATGTGCCTTCATACTCATTAATTTTATATTTTTTTTATAACCTATACAATCGATCTTTAGTATTTCGCCTTTAAAATATTTGGTTATAATCTAATTTTGCACTTTCAATTCACCAATTATTAGCGTCTAAACTCAATTCCAATCGGAGTATAATATTATATGTCAAATATATTTTTTACCACCTTCTTAGCATTGTGGGAAAACAAAAAAATAAATTAAAAAAAAAATAAAACTAACTAAAGCTAACTTAGCTAAGGTACTAATTGAAAGAGTTATGAAAGCAACTAATGGAAAAATTTGGGATGTGCAAGCGGGATTTAGAAAAGGAATGGGGTGTACAGATCAAGTCTTTTCCATGCGCATGACCGCGGAGAAGTTTTTGACAAAAAACCAAAAAGTTTTTTATGCGTTCATGGACTTGGAAAAGACTTATGACAGAGTGGACAGGGATCTGTTATGGCAAACGCTGAACTCATTTAGGTTGAATGTTGGGTTGATACAGGCATTAAAGCCTCTGTATAGGGACTCGAGTGCTTGTGTTAGTAACGGGGCCTATTGGTTTTATCCATAAAGGTGTCAGACAGGGCTGTCTGGCTTCCCCGTGGCTGTTCAACCTATTTATGGACAGTTGTTTGCAAAATGTGAAAGTTAAAGAATGCGGATTAAGAATGGGTGAGTTAACTATCAAATGCCTTTTGTACGCCGATGATCAAGTTATCCTTGCGTCGTCGGCGGCCGAGTTGCAAATGATGGTTACATTAATGAACAGGTGATTAAAAGAAAGGGGAATTAAAGTGAACGCAAGTAAGACGAAAGTGATTGATTTTGAAAGAGAAGAAAGCAAAACGGTATGTGAAATAAGAATAGAAGGAGAGTTAATTGAGCAAGTGGATGAGTTCGTATATTTGGGCTGCGTATTCAGCAGGGATGGGAGATATGATAAGGATATTGAACGACGAGTGAATGCAAGAAATAGAGTAAATGGGGCCCTGCACTCTATTGTGAAGAGTCAGAATGTGTCAAAAAAGGCACGTATGGCAATTCACAATGCTGTATTAGTTCCCTATTTGCTATGGTAGTGAAAGTTGGGTGTGGCAGAAGAAGCACGAGAGTAGAATGAATGCAGTAGAAGTGCGGTCGCTAAGGAATATGTTAGGGCTGAATCTGAGTGACAGGGTGAGAAACTGAGTGATAAAAGAAGAGTGTGGTTTGCAAGATGATGCGGTGACCAGGATTAAGAAAGGAATGCTTCGGTGGTTTGGTCATGTAGAAAGAATGAATGAGGAAAGACTGACAAAGCAAATATATGTTGCAGAAGTGAATGGAAGAGTCGGAAAGGGACGTCCTAGGCGAAAGTTTGTCGACCAAATTGGCGATATATTAAAAATGGGCCAAATTAAGAGTACCCTTAA